CACAGTCAAGTCTCGATGGGTAGTATCGCAATTTTTGACAGTGGTCTAACTACGCTACCCGAGGCCGTCTTGATAGTGGCAGAGCGCGCATTACCTTCAGAGTCCGCATGGACCTGTATTATTCGACCTAGCAACCAATGTAATGGAGTTAAGCCTTGCTGCTTCAATAGCACTAGTTGGCCCATCTTTAATTGTCGACCCTTATTGATCTTCCACTTCTGGCGCTCCTGTAAAGAGTGTATGTACTCCGTACTCCATCTGCGCCAAAAGTGTTGCCTAAGCTGCTCTATGCGCTGCCATCTTACCAGACGATTCTCGTTAACATCGCATATGTCGCGAGAAGGGAAACTATTCAGAGGGGTGCCAACCAAAAAGTGTCCGGGGCTAAGGTACATCAAGTCATTCGGATCCGTGCTTAACTGCGTTATGGGCCGCGAGTTTAAGACCGCCTCTACCTCGCACAACACGGTCTGCATTTCCTCGAATGTCAATCGCGCTTGACCAACGATTCTACCCAAATGGGTTTTTGCCGATTTAACGGCCGCCTCCCACAGCCCACCGAAATGTGGGGCGTGAGGCGGAATAAACTTCCAGGAAGTTTCCTGCTGCGTAAGAAAGTTCCTGATATCTGGTTGCAAGTCATCGCGCAATAATGCATCGTAGAGATCTCTTAATTGATTTTTAGCCCCCACAAAATTGGTGCCATTGTCGGAATACAAACACGCTGGCTTGCCCCTGCGTGAAACGAAGCGCTTTAGTGCCGCGATGAAGGCGTCGGAAGTCAGGTCGCTCACAAGCTCGATATGAACCGCCTTTGTTGCTAGACAGACGAATATTGCTACGTACGCTTTATTGTGACGAGCATTGCGCCGCTTACCCTCACGCACCAACAACGGCCCGGCGTAATCCATACCGGTGTGATAAAATGGTTTAGAAACGGTTACTCGTCCTGCGGGTAATGAACCCATTATGGTTTCTGAGAGGATCGGCTTGCTTTTAAAACATGTCACGCATTTTTGT